TAATAATAAAATAATTTATTTTTGGTTTAATAATATAATATTTTATAAAGATAATAATTAAGTATTTTGTTAGAACTTAATGATTATCCTAATTATATTTTAGATTTTTTATATTTAAAATAAGATGTTTATCCTGTATTTGATTGTGTTTATTTGCAGTTAGTTACACGAATTCAGATATGGGATGAAATCGGATAGGAATGAACGGGTTTAAAAGTTTTTAAGAGTTTAAGAGTTTTAAAAACTTAAGAGTTTTTAAGAGTTTTTAAGAGTTTTAGTCAAATGCTTTATAATATAGATAATATAGTATAGATATTAAATACAATTGTTTTAGGAAAAAGAATGAAGAAGGATAATGATAAAATAAAAGTTGTGGGGCATGATAGCTATAATTCAAAATCATAAAGGGGTTATTATGCAAAAGCTTATTCACCCATCTCTCTCTCTCTCCTCCATTTAACTGAATCCAGACACAGAACAAGAAATTAAACCAACAAACAGATTGAAGATCATCTTCTTCATCTTACCCACCATTCTTTTCAAGGCTGAACTCTTATGAACCTCACTGAATTTTAGTTAATTCTATGATGGCGACGCGTATCACAAAGATCACTGCCCTCCTTAGCTATAATGGCGTCGTATCAAGGATATGGGCAACACCATTTCTGGGTTCCAATTCCTATTCTTCCGCAGTGGCTTCCCTTGAATCCGAGCCAGATTCTCCATTGTTTGGGTTGAAGGATTATGAAAATTACAGAAAATCGATCCATGGTGGAATTACTCATAAAGCGCTGTTGGTTGACGCTGTCGGCACCCTCGTTATCCCGTCTCAGCCCATGGCTCAGGTAAACATTCATTATTCGATTAAAATTGTAGTTATTTCTGGGAAACATTTCATTTCTTGTTTCGGATCCACTGAATTGGGTTTTATTTGTAGATTTATAAGCAAATTGGGGAAAAGTATGGTGTTGAATTTAGTGAAGATGAGATTCTGAGGAGATACAGAAAAGCTTATGAGCAGCCATGGGGTAGATCTCGACTCAGGTAACCTGTATATATATATACATCATTGGTTTCTTAAGATTTACCAAATTTGCATTTAGAATTTAATTATTTGTGGGTGTGTTTTCCTCATTGATGATTCTATATTTGGAAGAACATCTTGATACATATTTGATGCTAAATACTTTCTATTTCAGTACTCTTTGTTTTCCTGGATTTATACAATCTTGATTTAAGAAAGCTTTTCAGAAATCTTTAGCTTCTTAGATGTTACAAGTTCATATGATTCTGTATAGAAGATTTGGGATAAAATCTACAAGATGAACAACTCATGGTGAATTTTGGTAGATTGATGAATTCAATGATGGAACAAGTTTTCAGTTTTGGATTCAGAAATCTTTTAATTTCCCGAAAGTTTAGCATAAATCCGTCTTCCGTACATCTGTATTTCTCCCTTTCACCAGCCGGGGTTCGTTACAAAAACAGCGGTTCTGCTCTTTAGGGTAGGGTAGAGGTTACATATGCATATCTCTTACTGCCACTTTGAGGTATACTGGGCTGTTTTGGTTCGTGTTAGAACTCAAGAACCCATTGTGACAGTTCTTGGATTGATTTGCTTCCTGAAAATCATATTCAGTCAGAAAGCGATTAGGACCCCCATCCCTATAACACCGGAGTCTTTTAATTCATCTAACTTACTTATTGAAAGCGAACAGAAGCTTCTTGCTTCATGTTTAACCACATGTTTAAACAAATATGCAGATACGTAGACGATGGAAGACCGTTCTGGCAACATATTGTTAGTTCATCAACAGGCTGTTCCGACTCCCAATACTTCGAGGAGCTTTATAATTATTATACCACGGAAAAGGTTTGTCTCATATTAGTCATTTATTGGTTAATGCCAAACCAAACGAACCCAGTACATGCCATCTCGAGATGGGGCCCAGGGGTGGGATGTACGCACATCTGTCCTCTACCCTAAAGGGTAGGGCGACTGAATCTGTGAAGACCCTAATATATTCCACTTGTAGTTGGAGGTGGGGTTTGGGGTGGGATGTATACAGATATGTCATTTACCCAAAAAGAAAAGAATAGAGCAGTTGATTCTATAAAGATCCCAATATGTCTCATCTGAAAACCCGCAACTCGTAAAAATGTGCGTCTTATCATAATTATATATCTAATTTTGATTTTATTTGCATCGAAAGGCTTGGCATCTCTGTGATCCAAATGCGGGAGAGGTGTTCAAGGCTTTGAAGAAAGCCGGGGTAAAAGTAGCTATAGTCTCAAACTTCGACACGCGATTAAGACCTCTGCTACGTGCTTTAAACTGTGATCACTGGTTCGATGCCATGGCGGTTTCCGCTGAAGTAAGTACTCTCGGAATTCACTCAATTCCTATCGGTTCTCTTGGACTTCTGACATTCCTAATGGCCCGGTTTCTGTAGGTTGCAGCAGAGAAACCGAATCCTATGATATTTCTAAAAGCGTGCGAGTTATTAGGCGTAGAAGCGGAGGATGCAGTCCACGTAGGCGACGATCGTAGAAACGATATTTGGGGAGCCCGAGATGCGGGATGCGATGCGTGGTTATGGGGAAGCGATGTTCATTCCTTCAAGGAGGTAACACAACTATTTGCTCGTTTACTAACGATTCGTGACGATGATTTTGATCTCGTATTTTGTGGAATAAAAATCTGTTGTACTCAAATTTGTACAACAGATTTGTACAACCCTTTACATTTGTACAACCAATACAACTCAATTTCAACCACCCATTTAATTTGATAAATATGTGATTTTATAAAAATTTTGATTGCTTCCTGATCCTAATATAAAGTATTGATCATAATTAATGAACTCTAGTAATCTTTTCTTAAATATTCAAATCATAATAATGAACTCTCATCATTTTCATAAATATCTCAATTGATTGGGTTGCATTGGCTGTATAAATGAACATGGTTGTATTTTTGAAATATACCCTATATATATATATATATATATATTACAATAACTAAAATATATTAAGTAAAATAATGATGTTTATTTATGTGATCGGTGAAATAGTGGTATTGAGGACAATAAACTTGTGGATGGTTTGACTTATTGAACTATATAGAAAGTCAAAACGTTTCGGTTTTGATGAGACGATTTGTTTTTTGGTGCAGATTGCCGAAAGGATAGGAGTTGAGGTGTGAACGGAACCGAACCCCTTTGGATTCGAAGAAATAAGATTCCGGATGTACGATCGGTTTTTTGGAATCGAAATATGGCCGATGTATCATATTATTTTACGGTAAAATTCGATGTGATATGATACAGCGGTTGTAATCGATGTTTTTTCCTTCGTATTTGTGGTCATCACATGTAAATATTGTGTAGTTGTTGTTACGTGCATCTGCACTTGCCTTTGTGTATGCAAGCAACTAGTGTCAGAATTATAATAAATCGCGACATCTTTTGGGGCATGTGCCAGATTTTTTAGAGTAAACTACAGTTTTGGTCCCTTTGGATTACAACACTTGACTATGCAAGTCATCCTTAAACTTTAATACGTATAATTACCGTCCTTGTGGTTTGCGTTTTGCTTTGAAAATGATCCCTTGCACTAACAGAGTTAGTGAAATCACTGTTAGTTTAGAGGTATTTTCGTTCATTTATCTATTTCTTTAAAATAATTTACAAAATACATAATATTACGTTATATTAAATTAAAATTATATAATTCCTCCATATCCACGCCCACTTCCACTGCATTTTGATTTCCCCACCCTCTTCCCATCTCATTCCTGGTAATCCCCGCTGGTGAAACAACCACCTCCGGTTTGATTTCCCAATGCCACCTAGCTCCGACCTCCCATATTGAGACCCACCTCCCGTTTGAGTTCCCGATGCCACCATTAATCTCTCCAACCCCCTCTTAAACTACCCACCACCACAACCCTCCATCATAGCCATATTTGGTTTATCCAGTTCCCCCTCCATTTCTCGATCTACATTAAATCTCACACAATACCACCTCATGCACACACATACAGTACATACAACACACACACATGCATCCATTGTGTACAGAACACACACACACACACACACACACACACACACACACTGTGCATACACAACACACACATGTATACTATGCATAAAACACACTATTTTGGAAGGGAGATTGGTTATGGTGGTAACATATTAAGGTGGCAAATCGATGGTGAAGTTAAGAGGTAAAGGAAGTGGTGTTTGGGAGATGGGGTGGTGCGTGTGTCTGATTATATATACATGTACGTATGTGTGTGTATGTGTGTTATATGTATGTATAGGGAAACTGTTAAAATATATCAAATGCTTCCAATCTTGACTGTCTTAACTAAGTTTCTTAACGATTGTCCTTATTTTGTCAAGTTATTAACTGGAAAGAGTATAAAGTGTAGATTCTACAAAGTTGTGTTGTTTGGAATAGTTGGAGGACTGCACCTCACTTGTTGGAAGAGTTAAGGGGTAGCAGAGCATGAAGTATGTATTTCCAAGGATCATTCTTGCCATTTTCTGGAAAACATATATACACATTTATTGAAGCATCCGACTCATAATCTTCAAGACTCAATTTTAACTCTAAAATTTTCTCTCTAGATCTCTTCATCTTCTTCTTTTCTCTCTCTAATCTAGGTTAAGATACGATTAATATTGTTCTTAAGTTTAGATTTAGATTCATATTCTTGAAACAGATCTTGTAGTTTGTATGTTGTATTCTTGTTGATTCGTATAATAAAATTGTTTTTCTTCAAATGTGCTCAGTTTTAACATGGTATCAGAGCTTAATGGTTCAACTTTTTTTTGAAAAATCTCTCAAGTTCTTCATTTTTGTTGTACATAAATCGAATATAGGATCGGTTAGGGTTTCTTGGTCCACGAGATTGCAAGATCTTGATCGCTGGTTCCCTCTGTGATATTCGCCCTCTTTTTCTTATTGCTTCTTTGTTTCATGTCTCGAGAAACTGATGATCGTTTGGGCTGTGTACCTTGTTGAGATCTCTAAGATGTTACTTCGGTCCCCATTACGTGACTTCTATTATTGTTCTTTGATATTCGACGTTGACTGTTGCTTATCTTAAATTTCTAAAAAAAAAGAAAAAGAAATCTTGTTTGTGTTCATGTCGTCTCCACCTGCTGAACCTGAAAGTCCAATGGAATCCGAAGTCACGAAATTAGACTTTGGAGATGCACTGTACTTGCATCCCAGTGACACTAGTGGAGCCTCTCTTTTATCTTTCAAGTTAAGTGGTACTGACAACTATGAAGTTTGGTCTTGTGCTATGATTTTAGCTTTGGAAACTAAGAATAAAATTGGGTTTATTGATGGGTCCTGCCCTCGTCCTATAAATGACCCTGTCTTAGAAAGACAATGGGACCGATGCAATTCGGTTGTTCTTTCCCGGATCCTTAGTTCTATGACTGAGGACCTTTTCCTAGGACATGTTTTTTTTCCCAAAGAATCCTCCCAGGTTTGGGAAGAATTAAAAGAAACATATGACAAAGTTGATGAGTCGGTCACATTCAGTCTATTATACCAGAAAATTAATTCCTTAAGCCAAAATGACACTTATGTTTCTAAATATTATCATAAGCTAAACTCTCTCTGGAAACAATTTGATGCTCTTTGTAAAACTCACATCCTGTACTTGTAAGGCCTCTCACGATTTTTTGGAACATAGGCAACTGATTAAACTTGTTGGTCCCTTGAGGGTCTACAAGAAGAGTAAAACAATTTGTAGAAGGGGGGAGGGGATGAATACAAACACAATATTTTTAAATTTAAAATATATATTGATAAAGAAGATCAATACATATTTTACAAGATTGTTTGCGGAAAGATAAGGTGATAAAAACCTATCTAAACAATCTTTAGATACACACTAAGTCTTAGCAAATACAAGAAAAGAAATGTTGTAGAGAAGATCCTTTACTTAAGCTAGAAAATGCTTGAAGTAAGAATTAGGGTTAGAGAGTGAGTTGCGCGCACTTTGCATGGAGAAGAAACACTTCTATTTATACCTAGTGCATTAAATGAACATTTGATGCAATATGGTAGGGTTAGAGTGCGTGTCAAGCCTTAAGAGGAAGGCTTGTCCTTTGCTACAGTGAATAGTACAAAAAACACTATTCATGAGCAGACATCCTTACCTAAAGTTGGTGGATAATAGAGTCGACTAGTCGGCTCCGTACCGTACCAACTTTCATAAGGGTATGGGTTTTGTCCTTTGTGTGTATAAACACAAGACAACAACAATCGTGCTAAGCAAGCTTCCTTTGATCGTTGAATGCTGGAATGACCTGAAGGTCTCATCATCATTCGCTGAAGTTTGAGCAGTCTTCACACATATGTAGATAGACTTGTAATCACTGAATATCGCTTCAGATCACATATTCGTCAGTCTCTATTCTTCAGTTTTAGTCTTTGACATTTGTTGAAGGTTCTTTGGTGTGAGTGTTGTCTTCTTGAAGTATTGCTGTCTCTGATAGATTTACAATGCAAATTCTTCAGCGATCACTGAACATACTCAGTGAAGATCGCTGAAACTGAAAAGACAGAAACATAAATACAATGTATAAGTGAAAATGGATTATCATCAAATCAGTGAGAGAGAGGATTAACAATCTCCCCCTATTTGATGATAACAAGATAACATAAAGAAGGTTATCTTATCGAATAATAGTAAGGAAAAGTTACATATGAAGTACATGTCCTTTTTTACTATTTTGGGATCTTTTTCAGTTAGTCAGTCTCAGCTTAATTTTTTTTTTCTTAAGTTATATCTAAGAAAATTACAAGTATGAAAACTGAAACTGAAAGCTTATTCACTGACTTATAGATTGTTAGTGAATGTAAAAAGTAACATCGGAACTCATAGACTTGTGTCCCTATTACTTTTTTCAGGAATCTTTTTCAGTGAAGTACATGGAATACTCATTTTATTAATCACATGAAATATTACAAATATTACAGTACATGTCTAGAACTTACAGAATATAAGTACAATCACTAAAAGTAGACATAGTACAAGAAGTTACAAGGAAAAGTGGATTGTTGTTACAAAGAGAAACTATTCTAGAACTCTTAGATCTATGTGACCAGGTACATTTTCACCAAGTTTTTTTCGACGTAGGAATTCCCTTTGTATCTTCAGATCTACGACTTTTTCAAGCTTGCTATCATCTATCCAGAGCAAAAGGTAAACCAGATGATCCATTGCACATAGATGTAGCTTTGACATTCTCTGAAATCTGACTTCACCTTCATAGTTAAGGAATATAACTCCTAACTCAGGTTTAAAATGTACAGAGTTGGGTGTATAGGGACCCTTATCTGGGAAGTCAAGATTCATCATAGAAATATTTGTACTCTTATGACCTTTCAGGACTTCATCTAAGGAGAACCTTGTTTCATGTTCGTTCCTTAGGAAAGGTCCATCATTAGGATCAGAGAGCTTGAGTTTCTTCTTCCCACCTTTCTTCAGAGTTGGCCTGTCAGGGACCTTGACATACCTAGACATCCTTTTGATGAGCTCGCTAATGGTGTCCTCGAAAAGTGTCATGTGTCTCGACTTGTATTGCTGAATGGCTTGTCTGATCTCCATCCATTCGCTGAATCCATAACGGCCTAGGTAGGAAGGGTACTCGGTAACGACATCAAGATTGTCCCTGGTGATGAGCATTTGGGCCCTGAGGAAGCCGAGGGAGCAAAAGCTGGATCGGGTTTCACTGTTGTGCTGGTTAATGCCCAACCACTTTCACCGTGAGACCAGTGTTCCATCGTCTGTAGAATGTCCGCTGATGCTGACGCTGATAATTGGGCGGGGACTGACTCTCTTTTTCAGCTTTGCTTCGCTCCATCGCTTGTCCTTTTCCGCTAGCTTCAGATTCTTGTCATGCTCAACTTCTCCAATAGAAAGAAGTTTAGCTTGGGCTTAGACAACGTTCACCGTTTTCTTGGACTTTTTCTTGGGGAGGACCTGTGCAGCTAGTGACCTGGCCAGCTTCAAGCTGTCTTCAGTCTGCTTCTTTTGAAGCTCTAGCTCTTCTTCAGCCCTTAATGCCTCGAGTCTTTTAGCTTCAGACAAGAAGTCAAACTCACCACCACTAGAGGTACGAAGAGGGATTTTTACTCTAGTCTGGTCGAGTGACTCCTTCAGCTGAGACATCTGCTAGTCGGTAGGAGCACAAGAGACGGGTTGATCAGGTACTTGCTCCAGTCAACCGCAGGTTGTTGATGGAATATGAAGTTAAAATTCTGAAGTAATCACTACCTGAGAGGTAGAGTTTTCAAACAAAGGTTGTTGAGGGATATTGAACAATACCTTCAAGTTTCCTTCTTCAGCAACCGTCTTTCCTTTCGACTTGGGGTCCTGGTTCCCTGATGGAGTCGATTCACCTTGCCTTTGCTCCCCCTGGGATGCAAAATCCCTGAGGGCAACACCCTTGGTGACGG